CTTTTTTTCAAAAAATCGATATATCTCGAAAAATAATTAATATTTTTAAATTTTTCAAAAATGTACTTTTTTGGCTTGCCGCGGGCTATGCTTGCAGTAAATAGCAAATATGGACACGTAAATGTAAACGAGTTATAGAAGAAGAGAAAAGAGAAGATTTTTAACGGTTTTTTCGATATATCTCGAAAAGTAACAAAGCAATCGATACTTTCAAAAAATCTGTCGATAGATCTTTTTAAAACCTACAACTTTCTCATTTAAAATTTTTCAATCCGTGCTATATTTTTTTAGTTATTTTAGAAAAACCGTTTTTTTCAACTTTGCGATTTTTTTTAACCATGTTCGCCATATTGGATCGAGTTTAAAGAACAAGAAACTCAATTTAAAATTTAATTTTCTATACGGTCATATTTTTTTGTCCAGGTAATAATTTCTGTAAGCATTTCTCTATAATGCTTGGACTATACCTACAAAAAGGATTTTTGTACATACGTGGTCCAGAAGTCGAGATAATGAAGATTTTGAACCTAAGAGCGCTTTTGAACGGGCGAATTGGCGAATTCAGTTTTCGGAGCGACCGAGATTTACCCCCCATTCCGCCGCCGGCTGCTACAGTTAGCTCGCGCCGCGCTCGAATGCTTCGGTTTGACGCACAATTAAAAATGCAGAAGTGGCTAAAATGAACCACAGTATTTTTTTTATTGAAAATATAAGTCTTCAACTTCAATCTCTGTACGAGTGGACGTTGTAGCACTTAAATAGCGGCCTGTGGAATTTTTTGAAAAAAAAAATATATATCTCGGTTCCAGAAGGTCGATATATCTCGAAAAGTAATATAGCAATCGATATATTTATAAATACGAATCTATAGGTTTTTTTAATAGCTACAACTTTCTCATGTAACTTTTTTCAATTGGAGTTCAAGCTTTTTTTTTATTAGCAAAAAACCGTTCTTTTTGACTTTTATGAATTTTTTAGGTTAACTTTGCCCTTCCACAAATAAGATCCACTTCTTATTTGTGGAAGGGTGAAATGGGCGTTGACTATTAGACGCCTTCATTATAGCCATCCTTGTCTATCACATGGATTACTATGGCTTACTTTACCGCTCTCACGTAACTTCTGATAGACCATCGGTACTTTCCTACACTGTATGAACATATTTTTTGTTTGCAGGTGGTATTTTTTGTAAGCTTTTCTACCTATTGATTGGACTAATTGTTTCTAGAGCAATCCGAAACAGTTTCCAACAGTCAGAAATCAGAAGCATTCGCATTCCGACACAATGCTTACATAAGGTCCAAAATCTACTGTTTCCAATTAAATGCAGTTGCGCCTGACTGTCGGAAACTGTAAATAAAATATGTAAATGCATCAGTTGTTTTACCTAATCGTAAAACTTAGACAGTTCACTGGTTCGTTCAGTGTCCAATCAGTGCATAGTTATCACATAACAAATACGTGGCAATTTTAAAAAAGTTATGAAAATGTGTGCTTTGTTCTGTGTCAGATCGTAGAGTAACCCACTAAAAATGTATCCTTGACTTTGACATTAGGTGAAACAAGACGAAACATTTTATAACTCAAATCTAGTTCACATACCACAAACCCTTTGTCTTTCCTTTTCGACTCCAAAGCCGCCTTGGCAAGCGGTGATTATCTTCGGCGGTTTTGTGTTTATGTTGGAAGTGCTCTGGGAAACAGCTTTCCTCGGAGTGAAACTCAGAGTTTCAGTTAGTTCAGAAAGCACTGAAATAATTAAAATTATTAAACAACGGTGATAACTTAAGCGAGATGGACCTACCAGGTAGCTCCTGGACCATCTCTGCGTTTTTGTGAACGAGTCCGACCATACTGTCGTAGACCTTCAACTTGCAGTTAATGTCACATTTTGAGCCGTCCGCTTTCGGGAATATGTTACTTACGGGGTTCATTGACGCCGTCAGAGTTACGTTGAAGAAGGTGTCTTCTTCCTGCGAAGAAACGGATGCAATGAGAGTTCAAAATTCATATAAAAAATAAGAGAAACGAGTTCATTTGAACGTAAAGTAAACGGCAAACTTTGCCCTAAGAGGGATCACTTTCTCGTTCATGCTATAGAGAGTAAAAAAATTACCTTTGATATGCACCGCGGTCTCTGCATGTCGACTTTGCACAACCGTCGACTCTGCCCGCACAAAAGCGAGCCCATAAGGTCCGGCAAATACGTGTACAAAATATCTCCGTCCCCCAAGGAACAGCTGTCGTTGACGGCGTAGAAGGTCTGGATGCTTATCTTATACATGGGGAACGTGATGATTTCCAGTTCGTGATCGAAAGACTCCTTTGCGTTGTTGCCGCTGGTCTTGGTGCAACTGTAGTTGCCGTGATTCCTTATTTCCACATTGTGTATCACCAGGACGTCTTGATTTCCGGGCAAGGGGTCACCTAAAATTAAAAAAAAACAACATTGAAATGCTCGCGTTAAATGTTTAACAAAAAATACACTGGCTTTTTTTTAGCGTATTTGTTAAGTAGCTTTAAATGGACTTGTATAGCATATACTATCTTTAATCCATAATTAGGGAAGAAACAGGGAAGAAAACAAGAATATTAAAGCTATCGGCCTGATGTTTTTACCAAATATTTAGCGGGTAAGTATATATAGTCCACAGTACAGGCCCCCTCTGGAAAGTTGATTACCACATACTTTATAACTCCTGAGGAGCTTCGTTTTGGCGAGTCTACCACATTTTTCTTCTGCGACTTTTCTCGATTCCTCCGCTTTTCCACTCGGAAAAGTCCAAAAACATGGCAATTTCCCGTGGTCTTGAAAAGTCAAGACCACATCTTTTATTTTTAGCTGAAGTAACTGGAAATTTTGTTGCGAATGCCGATTTCAATTTGTCCGACAGAAATTCCTCCGACATTGACGTGTCTACTAGTGCTGGCAACTGAATCCGGTTTTTTGGATAGTCGGTTAACCGGTTTCAGATAATTCGGATTTTTATGAAATCCGAAAACCGGTTATTCGGTTATTCGATTCTTCAAATATCCGAAAACCGGTTATTCAGTTATTCGAATCTTCAAATATCCGATTATTCAAATAACGGATTATTCGATGATATACTTTTTTTTTTTAGACATCGATTTGTCCGATTGCAATTGACCTTTTTTTTTTTGAGATCGATTTCTTTGTAAACAAATTTGACTTCCGGATTTTTGTAGACCTTTTTTTTAGACAATTTCTCCGGGTCTGTCTTTGTAAAGCACCGATTTTCAGATATCCGGTTTTGACGATTCAAGTAACGGATTATTCGAATAACTGGTTTTAGCAACTATTCGACTAACCGGTTTTATCTGAAACGGTTTTTACGGAACTCGGTTTAACTTTTTTCCGGTTTTTGCCAGCACTAGTGTCTACCGGTCGAAACATGCCAATATAACAGGGTATTGAAAATCAATTACCACATAGGAGGTAATTTTTAGTAAAATTAATTGTAAATAATTAATTCAGTCGAAAAGTATTGCAGTCCGACAAATTTCAAGCGGCGTTTTTTCAGTCCGACAGCTGGAAATCGGAATTTTCACGGGGTATGAAAAATTGGACAAAACACGATAGAAAAGTGTTTTTTATAAGCAAAAATTGTGATGTCCGACAAAAATGTATCCGCAAATCATCAGTCCGACAAAAAGTGATGAAAAAAAATTCGTAAAAAATGTGCACATGGATTTATAATTTCTAATAAGGTATTTTCATGTATTAAGCAAAATTCCATATAAATATACAGTACAGGGTGTTTCAGAAAGACCTCCCGTAAATACAGGGGGTGGGGACGGCAAAAAATAAGAATTTTTTGTCACATGAACTATATGTCTATCTCCTCAAGCTTACTTTGAAAAAAGTCACTTATTTTATAGTGTAATATTGTAAAAGTTTAATTAAAAGCCTTTTTTCTCGAAAATCGTCCACATTAGGAAGTTCTAACAAGAGTACATTATTTTTAGAAAATAAAATTGTACAATAGAAATTGGAGCCCGACTGGTAAAAAATCTAACCTTAAAAAAAATATAACTTAAATTGTAATAAGAATGTAGCATAACTAGCGCCCTCTATGAAATATACCAAAAGTAATTGGCACACTTAAAAACCTCGGACTACCAAATTTCATAAAAATATTTCGCACCATTTGGAAATTTTCATAAAAATGTTATTTAAAAAATTTTATTTTGTCTCTCTGTATCTCGAAAACAAGAGGAGATAGACATATAATTCATAAGACAAAAAATTCTCATGTTTTGTCATACTATCACCCCCTTTATTTATGGGAGGTCTTTCTGAAACACCCTGTATATATTTTTCGTTTTATTCTTGTAATTGTAAATCTATATGCTCAATTTAGCCAAATAAATATCGAGAAAAGAATTAAACGATTTCAAAAAAGTAGGTATGTATGGTGTAAAAAAAATATGCACAAAAATTTTGGGATTTTCTTTTAGAAAAATAGGAAGATTTTTGTAAAGAAAAATAACAAATGCGAATGAAAACTTGAAAGAGAAAAAAGGATTTTTATATCAAGTATAATATTAATTTATTTAGAAATAATGCATTATGGACTAAGATAATATTAATCGCCTCAAATAACTTCATTTGTTTATAACTTTTAAATTTTTTAGCATAAAATAAGCAATATTATAATTATTTATTTGAAACAAATAATAATTTACATCATAATGATTAATAACCATTTATAAATTTGAAAATTTTCGAGTGAAAATATTAAATTTCATCACGTTTATTGATTTATTGATTTTTTAATAAATTGCGGACATTAAATCGTTGGACACTTATATCACTATTTTGAACAGTAAATTTAAATGTGGGAAAAATGAAAATTAGATATGTGGTAATCGATTTTTCATACCCCGTGAAAATTCCGATTTCCAGCTGTCGGACTGAAAAAACGCGGCTTGAAATTTGTCGGACAACAATACTTTTTGACTGAATTAATTATTTACAATTAATTTTACTAAAAATTACCTATGTGGTAATTGATTTTCAATACCCTGTTATTTTGGCATGTTTCAACCGGTAGACACGTCAATGTCGGAGGAATTTCTGTCGGACAAATTTAAACCGGCATTTGCAACAAAATTTCCAGTTACTTAAGCTAAAAATAAAAGATGTGGTCTTGACTTTTCAAGACCCCGGGAAATTGCCATGTTCTTGGACTTTTCCGAGTGGAAAAGCGGAGGAATCGAGAAAAGTCGCAGAGGAAAAATATGGTAGACTCGTCAAAACGAAGCGCCTCAGGAGTTATAAAGTATGTGGTAATCAACTTTCCAAAGGGGGCCTGTACTGTGGACTAATACGGAAATTATAAATTGCGTGTCACTGAATGAGCCCATTCATATAAATTTGTTATAGATGTTTAGGTTACTCATTAATTCGTACCTTTATGGGAGTCATTGCTTTTAAATTTCCAAGTGTACTTGGTTCCTTTATCGTCCACGTCACCAGCATTGTTCGAACATGGTATTGTAACGTCCGAACCAGGAAGTGTTAAAATATGTTTCTCTGCAACATTAAAATACTAAATTTAAACAGATTAAACATAGATTTGTATTCGTACCGGACGTCTGAAGGTCGTATTCTTCATTAAATACGTTTTCTATATCATCATTTTCAATAACGTCCGATTTGCTACCTAAATTGCTCAAATATAGAAGGCTTCTCCTCCTCCTTTTCACAGGTTTTGAATTATTTCCAATCACTAATCCTTCTTTGAGCCTTACAAATTTGCCGCAGTGATACCCCTTCAAATCAAGGTTTCCTTTTTCCATTTTGTCCTCAGCGTTCGATATGTAAGAATCTATATCACAAAGGCAGTTGTTGCTGGAATCGAAATCTTTTTCCTCGCAAGTTGCTGTTGGAATGCTGCCTAAAGCGTTTTTGAGGTCTTTCGGTTCTGCCTTTTGTGCTTCGGGGGCTTTAGATTCGTTTAAATCCAGGTATTCCAAATTCAAATCGGAAACTGGTTTCTTGAGCAGATTTTCTAACAGTGTTTCATTAATTTTTTTCAGTTTTTCACCAGAATTGTTTACGATAATTACCATTGTTTTGGTTTGACCAGATTTCGCCTCTGTGGATTGTTCAACGCCTTCATTTGTTCCGTTTTCTTCAGTAAATTTTGTAGCTTCTAATTCCTCATGCTCTGTAGATTTTTCAAAATTTTCAGAAACAGCCTGCTCTTTTGTCTCACCAAGTTCTGTAGCTTCTAGTTCCTCGTGTTGTTCTGTAGACGTTCCATGTCCTTCATGACCTTCTGAACCCGATTCTCTTGGCGTTTCACTAATTTCTGTACTTTCTAGTTCCTCGTGCTGTTCTGTAGACTCTTTAGGACCTTCAGAAGCCGACTTTCTTTGTGTCTCACCAAATTCTGTAGTGTCCAATTCTTCGTGTTGTTTTGTAGATGTTCCATGTCCTTCATGACCTTCTGAACCCGATTCTCTTGGCGTTTCACTAATTTCTGTACTTTCTAGTTCCTCGTGCTGTTCTGTAGACTCTTTAGGACCTTCAGAAGCCGACTTTCTTTGTGTCTCACCAAATTCTGTAGTGTCCAATTCTTCGTGTTGTTTTGTAGATGTTCCATGTCCTTCATGACCTTCTGAACCCGATTCTCTTGGCGTTTCACTAATTTCTGTACTTTCTAGTTCCTCGTGCTGTTCTGTAGACTCTTTAGGACCTTCAGAAGCCGACTTTCTTTGTGTCTCACCAAATTCTGTAGTGTCCAATTCTTCGTGTTGTTTTGTAGATGTTCCATGTCCTTCATGACCTTCTGAACCCGATTCTCTTGGCGTTTCACTAATTTCTGTACTTTCTAGTTCCTCGTGCTGTTCTGTAGACTCTTTAGGACCTTCAGAAGCCGACTTTCTTTGTGTCTCACCAAATTCTGTAGTGTCTAATTCTTCGTGTTGTTTTGTAGATGTTCCATGTTCTTCATGACCCGATTCTCTTTGGGTTTCACCAAATTCTGTAGTCTCTAGCGCTTCAAGAGGTTTTGTTGATTTTTCAAGACGCTCGGAAGTTGACCCATTTTGCGTTTCGCCAAATTCTGTGGTGACTAGTCCTTCATGTTCTGTGGAACGTTCTCCGTGACGTTCTGTCTCCTTAAGTCCTGTAGTTTCTTGACCTTCGTAAGGTTTCGTAGATATTTTAAGGCTTTCCGAACTTGACGCTGTTTGAATCTCACCAAACGCTGTAGTTTCAACTTCCTTATGCCGTTTTGTAGACGTTTTATGTTTTTTACGACTTTCTACACTTGACGTCTCTCGCGCTTCACTGATTTCTGTAGTTTTTAGTCCCTCACGTTGTTTCGTAGACGTTTTATGGTTTTCATGACTTTTTGAACTCGACTTTCCATGAGTTCCCTGTCCTGATGCAGTTTCAGAGCATAGCTCACATATCGTACTACCTCCTTGCCCGTTGGAAAAGTGAAATAATTCGTCCTCCTTTGCGGCTTCACTGACTTCAGTTACTTTAGGCATATGTTGTGTTGTTAAATTATGATCATTTTTGACATGTGTTGTGACAAATACAGACGCCAACTCTGTATTTCTAGTACCTTTTGCACCTATTATGCTCGATGTATTTTCACTAGTTTCAGCTATTTCACTAGATTTAGCCCCTTTTGTACTTTCACCATGTTCGGTTGTCGCTTCAGTTTCAACATATTTAAAACCTTCTGTAGCTCCTGTACCTCTAGTTCCAGCACCTTCAACAGTTTCACTAGCCTCAGTCCCCTCTGTGCCCTCTGCTATTACTGTAGCCATAGTACCCTCTGTACCTTCAGTACGCTCACCCGTTTCTTCTGTTTCAGCATGTTCAGTACCTTCTGCTAACCCGGTAGCTACAGTTCCCTCTGAGCCTTCAGTATGCTCAGCAGTGGCTTCTGTTCCAGCATGTTCAGTACCTCCTGCTATTCCTGTAGCTATAGTTGCCTCTGTACCTTCAGTATGCTCAGCAGTGGCTTCTGTTCCAGCATGTTCAGTACCTTCCGCTATTCCAGTAGCTTCAGTATGCTCAGCAGTAGCTTCTGTTCCAGCATGTTCAGTGCCTTCCGCTATGCCTGTAGCTATAGTTGCCTCTGTGCCTTCAGTATGCTCTGCAGTGGCTTCTGTTCCAGCATGTTCAGTACCTTCAGCTATTCCGGTAGCTTCAGTACGCTCAGCAGTAGCTTCTGTTCCAGCATGTTCAGTACCTTCCGCTATTCCGGTAGCTTCAGTATGCTCAGCTGTGGCTTCTGTTCCAGCATGCTCAGTACCTTCCGCTATTCCGGTAGCTATAGTTCCCTCTGAACCTATAGTTGCCTCTGTGCCTTCAGTACGCCCAGCCGTGGCTCCTGTTCCAGCATATTCAGTACCCTCCGCTATTCCGGTAGCTTCAGTAAGCTCAACAGTAGATTCTGTTCCAGCATGTTCAGTGGTTTCTGCTATTCCTGTAGCTATAGTTGCCTCTGTGCCTTCAGTACGCTCTGCAGTTGCTTCTGTTCCAGCTTGTTCAGTACCTTCTGCTATTCCGGTAGCTTCAGTATGCTCAGCAGTGGCTTCTGTTCCAGCATGCTCTGTACCTTCTGCTATTCCTGTAGTAATAGTTGCCACTGTGCCTTCAGTATGCTCAGCAGTGGCTTCTGTTCCAGCATGTTCAGTCCCTTCCGCTATTCCGGTAGCTTCAGTATGCTCAGCAGTGGCTTCTGTTCCAACATGCTTAGTACCATCAGCTATTCCTGTAGCAATAGTTGCCACTGTGCCTTCAGTATGCTCAGCAGTGGCTTCTGTTCCTGCATGTTCAGTGCCTTCTGCTATTCCTGTAGCTCTAGTTGCCTCTGTGCCTTCAGTATGCTCTGCAGTTGCTTCTGTTCCAACATGTTCAGCGCCTTCTGCTATTCCTGTAGCTATAGTTGCCCCTGTGCCTTCAGTATGCTCTGCAGTGGCTTCTGTTCCAGCATGCTCAGTACCTTCGGCTATTCCGGTAACTTCAGTATGCTCAGCTGTGGGTTCTGTTCCAACATGTTCAGTCTCTTCCGCTATTCTGGTAGCTTCAGTATGCTCAGCAGTGGCTTCTGTTCCAGCATGTTCAGTACCTTCTGCTATTCCTGTAGCTATAGTTGCCTCTGTGCCTTCAGTATGCTCTGCAGTTGCTTCTGTTCCAACATGTCCAGTACCTTCTGATATTCTTGTGGCTATAGTTGCCTCTGTGCCTTCAGTATGCTCAGCAGTAGCTTCTGTTCCTGCATGTTCAGTGCCTTCTGCTATTCCTGTAGCTATAGTTGCCTCTGTGTCTTCAGTATGCTCTGCAGTGGCTTCTGTTCCAGCATGTTCAGTACCTTCAGCTATTCCGGTAGCTTCAGTATGCTCAGCAGTGGCCACTGTTCCAGCATGTTCAGTGCCTTCTGCTATTCCTGTAGCTATAGTTGCTCCTGTGCCTTCAGTATGCTCTGCAGTGGCTTCTGTTCCAGCATGCTCAGTACCTTCCGCTATTCCGGTAACTTCAGTATGCTCAGCTGTGGGTTCTGTTCCAGCATGCTCAGTACCTTCTGCTATTCCTGTAGCAATAGTTGCCACTGTGCCTCCAGTATGTTCAGCATTGGCTTCTGTTTCAGCATGTTCCGTCCCTTCCGCTATTCCGGTAGCTTCAGTATGCTCAGCAGTGACTTCTGTTCCAGCATGTTCAGTCCCTTCCGCTATTCCGGTAGCTTCAGTATGCTCAGCAGTGGCTTCTGTTCCAGCATGCTCAGTACCTTCTGCTATTCCTGTAGCTATAGTTGCCACTGTGGCTTCAGTATGCTCAGCAGTGGCTTCTGTTCCAGCATGTTCAGTCCCTTCCGCTATTCCGGTAGCTTCAGTATGATCAGCAGTGGCTTCTGTTCTAGCATGCTCAGTACCTTCTGCTATTCCTGTAGCTATAGTTGCCCCTGTGACTTCAGTATGCTCTGCGGTGGCTTCTGTTCCAGCATGCTCAGTACCTTCTGCTATTCCTGTAGCTATAGTGGCCACTGTGCCTTCAGTATGCTCAGCAGTGGCTTCTGTTCCAGCATGTTCAGTAATTTCCACTATTCCAGTAGCTACAGTATGCTCAGCAATAGGTTCTGTTCCAGCATGTTCAGTACCTTCTGCTATTCCTGTAGCTATAGTTGCCTCTGTGCCTTCAGTATGCTCTGCAGTTGCTTCTGTTCCAACATGTTCAGTACCTTCTGCTATTCCTGTAGCTATAGTTGCCTCTGTGCTTTCAGTATGCGCAGCAGTAGCTTCTGTTCCTGCATATTCAGTCCCTTCCGCTATTCCGGTGGCTTCAGTATGCTCAGCAGTAGGTTCTGTTCCAGCATGTTCAGTACCTTCTGCTATTCCTGTAGCTATAGTTGCTCCTGTGCCTTCAGTATGCTCTGCAGTGGCTTCTGTTCCAGCACGCTCAGTACCTTCCGCTATTCCGGTAACTTCAGTATGCTCAGCTGTGGGTTCTGTTCCAACATGTTCAGTCCCTTCCGCTATTCCGGTAGCTTCAGTATGCTCAGCAGTGGCTTCTGTTCCAGCATGCTCAGTACCTTCTGCTATTCCTGTAGCTATAGTGGCCACTGTGCCTTCAGTATGCTCAGCAGTGGCTTCTGTTCCAGCATGTTCAGTAATTTCCACTATTCCAGTAGCTACAGTATGCTCAGCAATAGGTTCTGTTCCAGCATGTTCAGTACCTTCTGCTATTCCTGTAGCTATAGTTGCCTGTGTGCCTTCAGTATGCTCAGCAGTAGCTTCTGTTCCAGCATGTTCAGTCCCTTCCGCTATTCCGGTAGCTTCTGTATGCTCAGCAGTGGCTTCAGTATGCTCTGCAGTTGCTTCTGTTTCAGCATGTTCAGTACCTTCAGCTATTCCGGTAGCTATAGTATGCTCAGCAGTGGCTTCTGTTCCAGCATGTTCAGTGCTTTCTGCTAATCCTGGAGCTATAGTTGCCTCTGTGCCTTCAATATGCTCTGCACTGGCTTCTGTTCCAGCATGGTCAGTACCTTCAGCCATTCCGGTCGCTTCAGTATGCTCTGCAGTGGCTACTGTTCCAACATGTTCAGTGCCTTCTGCTACTCCTGTAGCTATAGTTGCCTCTGTGCCTTCAGTATGCTCTGCAGTTGCTTCTGTTTCAGCATGTTCAGTACCTTCAGCTATTCCGGTAGCTATAGTATGCTCAGCAGTGGCTTCTGTTCCAGCATGTTCAGTGCCTTCTGCTATTCCTGTAGCTATAGTTCCCTTTGAACCTATAGTTGCCTTTGAGCCTTCAGTTCGCTCAGCCGTGGCTTCTGTTCCAGCATGTTCAGTACCTTCTGCTAATCCTGGAGCTATAGTTGCCTCTGTGCCTTCAATATGCTCTGCACTGGCTTCTGTTCCAGCATGGTCAGTACCTTCAGCCATTCCGGTCGCTTCAGTATGCTCTGCAGTGGCTACTGTTCCAACATGTTCAGGGCCTTCTGCTATTCCTGTAGCTATAGTTGCCTCTGTGACTTCAGTATGCTCTGCAGTTGCTTCTGTTTCAGCATGCTCAGCACCTTCAGCTATTCCTGTAGCTTCAGTATGCTCATTAGTGGCTTCTTTTCCAGCATGTTCAGTACCTTCCGCCATTCCAGTAGCTTCAGTATGCTCAGCAGTAGGTTCTATTCCAGCATGTTCAGCACCTTCTGCTATTCCTGTGGCTATAGTTGCCTCTGTGCCTTCAGTATGCCCAGCAGTAGCTTCTGTTCCAGCATGTTCAGTATCTTCTGCTATTTCTGTAGCTATTGTTGCCTCTGCGCCTTCAGTATGTTCAGCAGTGACTTCTGTTTCAGCATGCTCAGTACCTTTAGCTATTCCTGTAGCTTCAGTATGCTCATTAGTGGCTCCTTTTCCAGCAAGTTCAGTACCTCCCGCCATTCCAGTAGCTTCAGTATGCTCAGCAGTAAGTTCTATTCCAGCATGTTCAGTACCTTCTGCTATTCCTGTAGCTATAGTTGCCTCCGTGCCTTCAGTATGCTCAGCAGTAGCTTCTGTTCCAGCACGTTCAGTACCTTCTGCTATTCCTGTAGGTATAGTTGCCTCTGTCCCTTCAGTAGGCTCAGCAGTAGCTTCTGTTCCAGCATGTTCCGTACCTTCTGCTATTCCGGTAGCTATAGTTGCCTCTGTGCCTTCAGTATGTTCAGCAGTAGCTTGTGTTCCAGCATGTTCAGTGCCTTCTGCTATTCCTGTAGCTATAGTGGCCTCTGTGCCTTCAGTATGTTCAGAAGTGGCTTCTGTTCCAGCATGTTCAGTACCTTCTGCTATTCCTATAGCTATAGTTGCCTCTGTGCCTTCAGTATGCTCAGCAGTGGCTTCTGTTTCAGCATGCTCAGTACCTTCCGCTATCCCTGTAGCTATAGTTCCCTCTAAACCTATAGTTGCAAATGTGCCTTCAGTACGCTCAGCAGTGGCTTCTATTCCTGCACGTTCAGTACCTTCAGGTATTCCGGTAGCTTCAGTATGCTCAGCAGTAGATCCTGTTCCAGCGTGTTCAGTACCTTCTGCTATTCCTGGAGCTATAGTTGCCTCTGTGCCTTCAGTATGCTCAGAAGTGGCTTCTGTTCCAACATGTTCAGTACCTTCTGCTATTCCTGTAACTATTGTTGCCTCTGTGACTTCATTATGTTCAGCAGTGGCTTCTGTTTCAGCATGCTCAGTACCTTCCCCTATCCCTGTAGCGATAGTTCTCTCTGAACCTATAGTTGCCTCTGTGCCTTCAGTATGCTCTGCAGTAGCTTGTGTTCCAGCATGTTCAGTGCCTTCTGCTATTCCTGTAGCTATAGTGGCCTCTGTGCCTTCAGTATGTTCTGCAGTGGCTTCTGTTCCAGCATGTTCAGAACCTTCTGTTATTCCTGTAGCTATAGTTGCCTCTGTGCCTTCAGTATGCTCAGCTGTGGCTTCTGTTCCAACATTTACAGTACCTTCCGCTATTCCAGTAGCTTCAGTATGCTCAGCAGTAGCTTCTGTTCCATCGTGTTCAGTACCTTCTGCTATTCCTGGAGCTATAGTTGCCTCTGTGCCTTCAGTATGCTTAGAAGTGGCTTCTGTTCCAGCATGTTCAGTACCTTCTGCTATTCCTGTAGCTATTGTTGCCTCTGTGACTTCAGTATGTTCAGTAGTGGCTTCTGTTTCAGCATGCTCAGTACCTGCAGCTATTCCTGTAGCTTCAGTATGCTCATTAGTGGCTTCTGTTCCAGCATGTTCAGTACCTCCCGCTATTCCAGTAGCTTCAGTATGCTCAGCAGTAGGTTCTATTCCAGCATGTTCAGTACTTTCTGCTATCCCTGTAGTTGTAGTTGCCTCTGTGCCTTCAGTATGCTCAGCAGTAGCTTCTGTTCCAGCACGTTCAGTACCTTCTGCTATTCCTGTAGCTATAGTTGCCTCTGTGCCTTCAGTATGCTCTGCACTTTCTCCTGTTCCAACATGGTCAGTACCTTCAGCTATTCCGGTCGGTTCAGTATGCTCAGCAGTGGATACTGTTCCAGCATGTTCAGTGCCTTCTGCTATTCCTGTAGCTATAGCTCCCTCTGTGCCTTTAGTATGCACAGCAGTGGCTTCTGTTTCGGCATGCTCAGTACCTTCTGCAATGCCGGTAGCTATAGTTGCCTCTGTGCCTTCAGTATGTTCAGCAGTGCCTTCTGTTTCAGCATGTGCAGTACCTTCCGCTATTCCTGTAGCTATAGTTGCCTCTGTGCCTTCAGTATGTTCAGCAGTAGCTTGTGTTCCAGCATGTTCAGAGCCTTCTGCTATTACTGTAGCTATAGTTGACTCTGTGCCTTCAGTATGCTCAACAGTTTCTTCTGTTTCGGCATGTTCGGTACCTTCCACTCTTCCGGTAACTTCAGTATGTACAGCCGTGGCTTCTGTTTGAGCATATTCAGTGCCTTCTATTATTTCGGTAGCTATAGTTGCCTCTGTGCCTTCAGTATGTTCAGCAGTGGCTTCTGTTTCAGCATGCTCAGTACCTTCTGCTATTTCCGTAGCTATAGTTGCCTCTGTGCCTTCAGTATGTTTAACAATTGCTTCTGTTTCAGCATGCTCAGTACCTTCTGCTATTCCGGTAACTTCAGTATGTTCGGCCGTGACTTCTGTTTCAGCATGTTCAGTGCCTTCTGTTATTCCGGTAGCTATGTTTGCCTCTGTGCTTTCAGTACGCCCAGCAGTTGCTTCTGTTTCAGCATGTTCAGTACCTTCAGCTATTCCGGTAGCTATAGTATGCTCAGCAGTGGCTTCTGTTCCAGCATGTTCAGTGCCTTCTGCTATTCCTGTAGCTATAGTTCCCTTTGAACCTATAGTTGCCTTTGAGCCTTCAGTTCGCTCAGCCGTGGCTTCTGTTCCAGCATGTTCAGTACCTTCTGCTAATCCTGGAGCTATAGTTGCCTCTGTACCTTCAATATGCTCTGCACTGGCTTCTGTTCCAGCATGGTCAGTACCTTCAGCCATTCCGGTCGCTTCAGTATGCTCTGCAGTGGCTACTGTTCCAACATGTTCAGTGCCTTCTGCTATTCCTGTAGCTATAGTTGCCTCTGTGCCTTCAGTATGCAAAGCAGTAACTTCTGTTCCAGCATGTTCAGTATCTTCTGCTATTTCTGTAGCTATTGTTGCCTCTGCGCCTTCAGTATGTTCAGCAGTGACTTCTGTTCCAGCATGTTCAGTACCTTCAGCTATTCCTGTAGCTATAGTTGCCCCTGTGACTTCAGTATGTTCAGCAGTGACTTCTGTTTCAGCATGCTCAGTACCTTTAGCTATTCCTGTAGCTTCAGTATGCTCATTAGTGGCTCCTTTTCCAGCAAGTTCAGTACCTCCCGCCATTCCAGTAGCTTCAGTATGCTCAGCAGTAAGTTCTATTCCAGCATGTTCAGTACCTTCTGCTATTCCTGTAGCTATAGTTGCCTCCGTGCCTTCAGTATGCTCAGCAGTAGCTTCTGTTCCAGCACGTTCAGTACCTTCTGCTATTCCTGTAGGTATAGTTGCCTCTGTCCCTTCAGTAGGCTCAGCAGTAGCTTCTGTTCCAGCATGTTCCGTACCTTCTGCTATTCCGGTAGCTATAGTTGCCTCTGTGCCTTCAGTATGTTCAGAAGTGGCTTCTGTTCTAGCATGTTCAGTACCCTCAGCTATTCCGGTAGCTATAGTTGCCTCTGTGCCTTCAGTATGTTCAGAAGTGGCTTCTGTTCCAGCATGTTCAGTACCTTCTGCTATTCCTATAGCTATAGTTGCCTCTGTGCCTTCAGTATGCTCAGCAGTGGCTTCTGTTTCAGCATGCTCAGTACCTTCCGCTATCCCTGTAGCTATAGTTCCCTCTAAACCTATAGTTGCAAATGTGCCTTCAGTACGCTCAGCAGTGGCTTCTATTCCTGCACGTTCAGTACCTTCAGGTATTCCGGTAGCTTCAGTATGCTCAGCAGTAGCTTCTGTTCCAGCGTGTTCAGTACCTTCTGCTATTCCTGGAGCTATAGTTGCCTCTGTGCCTTCAGTATGCTCAGAAGTGGCTTCTGTTCCAGCATGTTCAGTACCTTCTGCTATTCCTGTAACTATTGTTGCCTCTGTGACTTCATTATGTTCAGCAGTGGCTTCTGTTTCAGCATGCTCAGTACCTTCCCCTATCCCTGTAGCGATAGTTCTCTCTGAACCTATAGTTGCCTCTGTGCCTTCAGTATGCTCTGCAGTAGCTTGTGTTCCAGCATGTTCAGTGCCTTCTGCTATTCCTGTAGCTATAGTGGCCTCTGTGCCTTCAGTATGTTCTGCAGTGGCTTCTGTTCCAGCATGTTCAGAACCTTCTGTTATTCCTGTAGCTATAGTTGCCTCTGTGCCTTCAGTATGCTCAGCTGTGGCTTCTGTTCCAACATGTACGGTACCTTCCGCTATTCCAGTAGCTTCAGTATGCTCAGCAGTAGCTTCTGTTCCATCGTGTTCAGTACCTTCTGCTATTCCTGGAGCTATAGTTGCCTCTGTGCCTTCACTATGCTTAGAAGTGGCTTCTGTTCCAGCATGTTCAGTACCTTCTGCTATTCCTGTAGCTATTGTTGCCTCTGTGACTTCAGTATGTTCAGTAGTGGCTTCTGTTTCAGCATGCTCAGTACCTGCAGCTATTCCTGTAGCTTCAGTATGCTCATTAGTGGCTTCTGTTCCAGCATGTTCAGTACCTCCCGCTATTCCAGTAGCTTCAGTATGCTCAGCAGTAGGTTCTATTCCAGCATGTTCAGTACTTTCTGCTATCCCTGTAGTTGTAGTTGCCTCTGTGCCTTCAGTATGCTCAGCAGTAGCTTCTGTTCCAGCACGTTCAGTACCTTCTGCTATTCCTGTAGCTATAGTTGCCTCTGTGCCTTCAGTATGCTCTGCACTTTCTCCTGTTCCAACATGGTCAGTACCTTCAGCTATTCCGGTCGGTTCAGTATGCTCAGCAGTGGATACTGTTCCAGCATGTTCAGTGCCTTCTGCTATTCCTGTAGCTATAGCTCCCTCTGTGCCTTTAGTATGCACAGCAGTGGCTTCTGTTTCGGCATGCTCAGTACCTTCTGCAATGCCGGTAGCTATAGTTGCCTCTGTGCCTCCAGTATGTTCAGCAGTGCCTTCTGTTTCAGCATGTGCAGTACCTTCCGCTATTCCTGTAGCTATAGTTGCCTCTGTGCCTTCAGTATGTTCAGCAGTAGCTTGTGTTCCAGCATGTTCAGAGCCTTCTGCTATTACTGTAGCTATAGTTGACTCTGTGCCTTCAGTATGCTCAACAGTTTCTTCTGTTTCGGCATGTTCGGTACCTTCCGCTCTTCCGGTAACTTCAGTATGTACAGCCGTGGCTTCTGTTTCAGCATATTCAGTGCCTTCTATTATTTCGGTAGCTATAGTTGCCTCTGTGCCTTCAGTATGTTCAGCAGTGGCTTCTGTTTCAGCATGCTCAGTACCTTCTGCTATTTCCGTAGCTATAGTTGCCTCTGTGCCTTCAGTATGTTTAACAATTGCTTCTGTTTCAGCATGCTCAGTACCTTCTGCTATTCCGGGAACTTCAGTATGTTCGGCCGTGACTTCTGTTTCAGCATGTTCAGTGCCTTCTGTTATTCCGGTAGCTATGTTTGCCTCTGTGCTTTCAGTACGCTCAGCAGTTGCTTCTGTTTCAGCATGTTCAGTACCTTCCGCTATTCCGGTAGATATAGTTGCCTCTGTGCCTTCAGTATGTTCAGCAGTGGTTTCTGTTGCAGCATGTTCAGTACCTTCCGCAATTCCGGTAGCTTCAGTATATTCAGCAGTGACTTCTGTTTCGGCATGCTCAGTACCTTCTGCTATTCCGGTAGCTATAGTTTCCTCTGTGCCTTCAGTATGTTCAGCAGTGGTTTCTGTTTCAGCATGTTCAGTACCTTCCGCTATTCCGGTAACTCCAGTATGCTCAGCCGCGGCTTCTGTTTCAGCATGTACAGTGCCTGCTGTTATTCCGGTAGCTATAGTTGCTTCTGTGCCTTCAGTATGTTCGGCAGTGGTTTCTGTTTCAGCATGTTCAGTACCTTCCGCTATTCCGGTAGCTTCAGTATGCTCAGCAGTAGCTTCCGTTCCAGCATGTTCAGTACCTTCTGCTATTCCCAAAGCTATAGTTGCCTCTGTGCCTTCAGTACGTTCAGCAGTGGTTTCTGTTGCAGCATGTTCAGTACCTTCCGCAATTCCGGTAGCTTCAGTATATTCAGCAGTTGCTTTTGTTTCAGCATGTTCAGTACCTCCTGCTATTCCGGTAGATATAGTTGCCTCTGTGCCTTCAGTATGTTCAGCAGTGGCTTCAGATGCAGCATGCGTAGTACCTTCTGCTGTTCCCGTAGCTAAAGTTGCCTCTGTGCCTTTAGTATGTTTAACAGTTACTTCTGTTTCAGCATGCTCAGTACCTTCCGCTATTCCGGTAGATATAGTTGCCTCTGTGCCTTCAGTATGTTCAGCAGTGGTTTCTGTTGCAGCATGTTCAGTACCTTCCGCAATTCCGGTAGCTTCAGTATATTCAGCAGTGACTTCTGTTTCGGCATGCTCTGTACCTTCAGTATGCTCAGCCGCGGCTTCTGTTTCAGCATGTTCAGTGCCTGCTGTTATTCCGGCAGCTGTAATTGCTCCTGTACCTTCAGTATGTTCGGCAGTGGTTTCTGTTTCAGCATGTTCAGTACCTTCTGCAATTCCGGTAGCTTCAGTATATTCAGCAGTGACTTCTGCTTCGGCATGCTCAGGACCTACTGCTATTCCTGTAGCTATAGTTTCTTCTGTGCCTTCAGTAAGTTCAGCAGTGGTTTCTGTTTCAGCGTGTTCAGTACCTTCCGCTATTCCGGTAACTCCAGTATGCTCAGCCGCTGCTTCTGTTTCAGCATGTTCAGTGCCTGCTGTTATTCCGGTAGCTATAGTTGCTTCTGTGCCTTCAGTATGTTCAGCAGTGGTTTCTGTTTCAGCATGTTCAGTACCTTCCGCTATTCCAGTACCTTCAGTATGCTCAGCAGTAGCTTCCGTTCCAGCATGTTCAGTACCTTCTGCTATTCCCAAAGCTATAGTTGCCGCTGTGCCTTCAGTACGTTCAGCAGTGGTTTCTGTTGCAGCATGTTCAGTACCTTCCGCAATTCCGGTAGCTTCAGTATGTTCAGCAGTGGCTTCTGTTTCAGCATGCGTAGTACCTTCTGCTGTTCCCGTAGCTAAAGTTGCCTCTGTGCCTTTAGTATATTTAACAGTTACTTCTGTTTCAGCATGTTCAGTACCTTCTGCTATTCCGGTAGCTATAGTTGCCTCTGTGGCTTCAGAAAGTTCAGCAGTGGTTTCTGCTTCAGCATTTTCAGTACTTTCCTCTATTTCGGTAACTTCAGCATGCTCGGCCGTGACTTCTGTTTCAGCATGTTCAGTGCCTTCTGCTATTCCTGTAGCAATAGTTGCCACTGTGGCTTCAGTATGCTCAGCAGTGGCATATGTTTCAGCATGTTCAGTCCCTTCCGCTATTCCGGTAGCTTCAGTGTGCTTAGCAGTGGCTTCTGTTCCAGCATGCTCAGTACCTTCTGCTATTCCGGTAGCTATAGTTGCCACTGTGGCTTCAGTATGCTCAGCAGTGGCTTCTGTTTCAGCATGTTCAGTACTTTCCACTACTCCGGTAGATATAGTTACCTCTGTGCCTTCAGTATGTTCAGCAGTGGTTTCTGTTGCAGCATATTCAGTACCTTCCGCAATTCCGGTAGCTTCAGTATATTCAGCAGTGACTTCTGTTTCGGCATGCTCAGTACCTTCTGCTATTCCGGTAGCTATAGTTTCCTCTGTGCCTTCAGTTTGTTCAGCAGTGGTTTCTGTTTCAGCATGTTCAGTACCTTCCGCTATTCCGGTAACTCCAGTATGCTCAGCCGCGGTTTCTGTTTCAGCATGTTCAGTGCCTGCTGTTATTCCGGTAGCTATAGTTGCTTCTGTGCCTTCAGTATGTTCGGCAGTGGTTTCTGTTTCAGCATGTCCAGTACCTTCCGCTATTCCGGTAGCTTCAGTATGCTCAGCAGTGGCTTCCGTTCCATCATGTTCAGTACCTTCTGCTATTCCCAAAGCTATAGTTGCCTCTGTGCCTTCAGTATGTTCAGCAGTGGTTTTTGTTGCAGCATGTTCAGTACCTTCCGCAATTCCGGTAGCTTCAGTATATTCAGCAGTTACTTCAGTTTCAGCATGTTCAGTACCTTCTGCTATTCCGGTAGATATAGTTGCCTCTGTGCCTTCAGTATGTTCAGCAGTGGTTTCTGTTTCAGCATGTTCAGTACCTTCCGCTATTCCGGTAACTCCAGTATGCTCAGCCGCGGCTTCTGTTTCAGCATGTTCAGTGCCTGCTGTTATTCCGGTAGCTGTAGTTGCTTCTGTACCTTCAGTATATTCCGCAGTGGTTTCTGTTTCAGCATATTCAGTACCTTCCGCTATTCCGGTAACTCTAGTATGCTCAGCCGCGGCTTCTGTTTCAGCATGTTCAGTGCCTGCTGTTATTCCGGTAGCTGTAATTGCTTCTGTACCTTCAGTATGTTCGGCAGTGGTTTCTGTTTCAGCATGTTCAGTACCCTCCGCTATTCCAGTACCTTCAGTATGCTCAGCAGTAGCTTCCGTTCCAACATGTTCAGTACCTTCTGCTATTCCCAAAGCTATAGTTGCCCCTGTGCCTTCAGTATGTTCAGCAGTGGTTTCTGTTGCAGCATGTTCAGTACCTTCCGCAATTCCGGTAGCTTCAGTATGTTCAGCAGTTGCTTCCGTTTCAGCATGTTCAGTACCTTCCGCTATTCCGGTAGATGTAGTTGCCGCTGTGCCTTCAGTACGTTCAGCAGTGGTTTCTGTTGCAGCATGTTCAGTACCTTCCGCAATTCTGGTAGCTTCAGTATATTCAGCAGTGACTTCTGTTTCGGCATGCACAGTACCTTCTGCAATTCCGGTAGCTATAGTTGCCTCTGTGCCTTCAGTATGTTCAGCAGTGGCTTCTGTTTCAGCATGCATAGTACCTTCTGCTGTTCCCGTAGCTAAAGTTGCCTCTGTGCCTTTAGTATATTTAACAGTTACTTCTGTTTCAGCATGCTCAGTACCTTCTGCTATTCCGGTAGCTACAGTTGCCTCTGTGGCTTCAGAATGTTCAGCAGTGGTTTCTGCTTCAGCATTTTCAGTACTTTCCTCTATTTCGGTAACTTCAGCATGCTCGGCCGTGACTTCTGTTTCAGCATGTTCAGTGCCTTCTGTTATTCCGGTAGCTATAGTTTCCTCTGTGCCTTCAGTTTGTTCAGCAGTGGTTTCTGTTTCAGCATGTTCAGTACCTTCCGCTACTCCGGTAGATATAGTTGCCTCTGTGCCTTCAGTATGTTCAGCAGTGGTTTCTGTTCCAGCATGTTCAGTACCTTCCGCAATTCCGGTAGCTTCAGTATATTCAGCAGTGACTTCTGCTTCAGCATGTTCAGTACCTTCCGGTATTCTTGTAGCTATAGTTGCCTCTGTACCTGCTGTATGCCTAGCACCTTCTTCAACTTCAGTAGATGTAGTTCCCACAATGCCTTTGGCTTCAGTTCCAACAGATTCAGTACCTTCTGGCATTCCTGTAGCTTTAGTTCTTTCTGTACCTTCTGTATGCCAAGCTGGGGAAGGTTCGGATGTTTCTACACTTTCGGCACCTTCTTCAACTTCAGTAGATGTAGTTCCCACAATGCCTTTGGTATGCTTAGCTGTGATTACTGTTTCAACATATTCAGTACCTTCTGCAACTCCTGTAGCTTTGGTTCGCTCTATACCTTCTGTATGCCTAGCTGGGGCTTCAGTTTCTACACTTTCGGCACCTTCTTCAACTTCAGTAGATGTAGTTCCCACAATGCCTTTGGTATGCTTAGCTGTGGTTTCAGTTTCAACATATTCAGTACCTTCTGGCATTCCTGTAGTTTTAGTTCTTTCTGTACCTTCTGTATGCCTAGCTGGGGCCTCAGTTTCTACACTTACGGCACCTTCTTCAACTTCAGTAGATGTAGTTCCCACAATGCCTTTGGTATGCTTAGCTGTGGCTTCAGTTTCAACATATTCAGTACCTTCTGCTACTCCTATAGCTTTGGTTCGTTGTGTACCTTCCGTATGCCTAGCTGGGGCCTCAGTTTCTACACTTTGGGCACCTTCTTCAACTTCAGTAGATGTAGTTCCCACAATGCCTTTGGTATGCTTAGCTGTGATTTCAGTTTCAACATATTCAGTACCTTCTGCTACTCCTATAGCTTTGGTTCGTTGTGTACCTTCCGTATGCCTAGCTGGGGCCTCAGTTTCTTCACTTTGGGCACCTTCTTCAACTTCAGTATATGTAGTTCCCACAATGCCTTTGGTATGCTTAGCTGTGATTTCAGTTTCAACATATTCAGTACCTTCTGCAACTCCTGTAGCTTTGGTTCGTTCTGTACCTTCTGTATGCCTAGCTGGGGCCTCAGTTTCTACACTTTCGGCACCTTCTTCAACTTCAGTAGATGTAGTTCCCACAATGCCTTTGGTATGCTTAGCTGTGGTTTCAGTTTCAACATATTCAGTACCTTCTGCAACTCCTGTAGCTTTGGTTCGTTCTGTACCTTCTGTATGCCTAGCTGGGGCTTCAGTTTCTACACTTTCGGCACCTTCTTCAACTTCAGTAGATGTAGTTCCCGCAATGACTTTGGTATGCTTAGCTGTGGTTTCAGTTTCAACATATTCAGTACCTTCTGGCATTCCTGTAGCTTTGGTTCGTTCTGTACCTTCTGTATGCCTAGCTGGGGCTTCAGTTTCTACACTTTCGGCACCTTCTTCAACTTCAGTAGATGTAGTTCCCACAATGCCTTTGGTTTGCTTAGCTGTGGTTTCAGTTTCAACATATTCTGTATCTTCTGCAACTCTTGTAGCTTTGGTTCGTTCTGTACCTTCTGTATGCCTAGCTGGGGCCTCAGTTTCTATACTTTCGGCACTTTCTTCAGCTTCAGTAGATGTAGTTCCCACAATGCCTTTGGTATGCTTAGCTGTGGTTTCAGTTTCAACATATTCAGTACCTTCTGGGATTCCTGTAGCTTTAGTTCTTTCTGTACCTTCTGTATGCCTAACTGGGGTTTCAGTTTCTACACTTTCGGCACCTTCTTCAACTTCAGTAGATGTAGTTCCCATAATGCCTTTGGTATGCTTAGCTGTGATTTCAGTTTCAACATATTCGGTATCTTCTGCAACTCCTGTAGCTTTGGTTCGTTTTGTACCTTCTGCATGCCTAGCTGGGGCCTCAATTTCTACACTTTCGGCAACATCTTCAACTTCAGTAGTTGTAGTTCCCACAATGCCTCTGGTATGCTTAGCTGTGGTTTCAGTTTCAACATATTCAGTACCTTGTGCAACTCCTGTAGCTTTAGTTCGTTCTGTGCCTTCTGTATGGCTGGCTGGGGCTTCAGTTTCTACACCTTCGGCACCTTCTTCAACTTCAGTAGATGTAGTTCCCACAATGCCTTTGGTATTCCTAGCTGTGATTTCAGTTTCAACATATTCAGTATCTTCTGTTATTCCTGTAGCTTTATTTTCTTCTGTGCCTTCTGTATGCTCAGCTGTGGCCTCAGTTTCTACACCTTTCCCACCTTCTTCAATTTTAGTAGTTATAGATTTCATGGGGCCTTCAGTTTGCTGAGCTGTGGTTTCAGTTTCAATACACCTTTCCCACCTTCTTCAATTTTAGTAGTTATAGATTTCATGGGGCCTTCAGTTTGCTGAGCTGTGGTTTCAGTTTCAACATATTTAGTACCTTCTGTAACTCCTACAGCTTTAGTTCTCTCTGTGCGCTCCATATGTCTAGCGGGGGTCTCAGTTTCCAAACTTTCGGCACTTTCTTCACCTTCAGCAGTTCCTACTTTGCCTTCAGTTTGCTGAGCTGTGGTTTCAATTTCAACAGGTTCAGTACCTTCTGTTATTTCTGTAATTTTAGTTCTCTTTTTGCCTTTAGATTCGGCATGTTCTTCACTTGCTATTCCTGTAGCAGAGGCAACATGTTTTGAACCTGTGCTTTCGGTATGTTCAATCTTGATCCCTGTTTCTGCGTTTTCAGTATATTCTATTGTTTCAGTCGCTTTTTTATTATCCATGTTTTCGGCTTTCGTAGGCGTAAGTTCAGTTTCGACGTATTTAGTACTTTCTATAATTCTAGCAGTTTTAGATATTTTTGTGGATTCAGTACGCTCAGTTGTTGTTTCAGTTTCAACATTTTCAGTATTTTCCTCTGATTGTATTAATGTTTTTAGAGTGTGGCGGACATTAGTTATTTTTTCGATTACTTCTGTTGTCGCTGTGCCTTTATAATGTTCAGTTGTTACTTCAGTTTTCACAATTTCTTCATTTGCTGTAATTTTACCCATTTCAATATTCGTTATACCTATGGTATGCTTGATTGTTGCCTTAATCTCGAGATTTTCGGCACTTTCTGAAGTTTCAGGAGTTTTAGTCTCCTTTGTGCCCTCAGTCTGCTCAGTTTCAACGTTTTCAATATATTCCTCAGATTGTGTTAATTTTTCTAGATTGACGGGTACATTAGTTGTTTCCTCTGTTATTTCTGTTATCTCTGTCCCTTTAGCAAGTTCAGTGGTTACTTCAGTTTCTACATTTTCTGTAATTTCACTAATTTCAATATTGCCTGCGCCTGTGGTATGTTTGATTGTCGTCTCAGTTTCGACATTTTCAACGGTTTGTGATGTTTCAGGAGTTTTAGTCTCTTCTGTGCCCTCAGCATACTCAGTTGTTGCCTCAGTTTCAACATTTTCAGTATTTTCAGATTGTGTTAATTTTTTTAGTACATTAGTAATTCCTTCTGCAATTTCTGTGGTCTTTCGTGACTTGCTAGAGGTTTTTGCCGGTCGAATATGTGTATATTGTGTAAAGTTAAATATCTCTTCTTTATTTGTTTGTTCAGTACTATCTGTAATTTTATTATTTTTAGTGGAAATGGTGTGCTTTGATGTTGTAATAATTTGATTGTGTGTGTGTGAGATACTGTAGAGAAACTTATATATTGATCGAGTTTACTAATTATTTTTGGCTTTTGTTGTTTGATATTTTGTGAAAGTTCACACGACTATGTAGATGTCGACTGGAATAATGGTATTCAGTTAATTTTTTAGTTCTTCTTCATTGTAATCTTTAATTTTAGAAGTTATTTTTTTTGTGTGTATGTTTGGTGAGATTTCATTTCCAGACTTTTTCGTCGAATGTTCGACATCTTCGTTCCATTTCTGAGATGTTCTATGTTTTTTTAGGATTTGGAGTTGCCATAGTTTTACTCTTCGATCGTCGCAGTTGTGTCTCTGAGGTGGTCCCCATACTTGTCACGTATTTGTTTCTAGAACATATTTCACACAACGTACTAGTTTTTCCTTCATCTGAAAAATTAAATATTTGCTGATCCTGTGCTTCGCTATAATCTGCTTCAATTTCTCCTACAACGGGATTCTTTCCTTCCGTAACAGTTTTTGTTCTTCTGCCAGTTTTGGTTGCAAATTCAGGTTCAGTTTCTATACAACTTTGACATAATTCATCGTTTCTTTCGTTGGGTAAATGAAATAGTTGATTTTCGTTTGGTTCCTCTTTAAATTCAGTAGTTTCCTTTTGCGTAACCTGTGGTGTTACAGTCCCTTCTACTTTTCTATGTTGCGTATGCGATTCTATTTTTCCCTTTGTTGTTTCCTTTATACTTTTAATATTCACTGAAATAGAACTTTCGACTTCTTGCTTAGTCGTTGTTTCTAGAATAGTAGATGCTGTATTTATGTTTGTATGCCTTATGGTTTTCTTGCGTTTGAGCGTTGTTTTTGTTGGTTGAACAGATTTTTCTGAATTAGTAATACTTGGCGTTAAACGTATTTCTGGATTTCCTCTCTCACTAGATGTATTATATACACTTTTAGAACATAATTCACATAAAGTGCTGCCCTTCCTTTTATCGGAGAAATTAAATTCTTTTTCTACAGTTTCGCTATGCTCAATCATTTTATTTTCTGTGTTACCATATTCGACAGTGTGCTTTGTATTAAATTCAGATTTTGTGCTTGATTTGTGATAAACGTGCTTGCCTGTTTTGTTTCTGTTTGTGCCCGATACTGTTGCTTCTGTGGTATGTGTTCCAGGGGTAAGTAATTCACTTTCGGCTATTTCTGACTTCACTGTCGTAGGCCTTGTGGTACTTATTCCTTCTGTTCCTCTGTAGTCTTTTGATCTACTTTTCGTCTTTGTCTCTGTTCTTCCGGTTTTAGGGGTTTTCTCAGTAGAAATTTTGTCTCCCTTTCCTGTTGACATTTCGTTTGTAGTATGTTTCTTATGACTTATCCCAACTACTTTGATAACTTTCGTTTCTGTTACGTGCTGTTTTAAATTCTGATTCATTAGGTTATTAGTAGTTATTTCTTTTGCTGCCTGCTTAGGTGTGGTTTTCTTAGCGCGGCCTTTAGTTGTACCTGATGTAAATTTTTTTGTTTTGTGCTTTTTCGAATATTGCTTGTAGTCTTTTTTAGTTGATTTTGATTCTATCATTCCAGAAGTTGTGTTATATCTTGAACTTAATTTTGAGTGAATCATGGTCGTCCTAGGTTTGAGAGTTATTTTTGTCGGTTGAACAGATTCTTCTGACTCAGCAATACTTGGCGTTAAAGCTGTTTCTGAATTTCCTTCCTTCCTAGACGTACTATATTCACTTTTAGAACATAATTCACATAAAGTACTGCTCTTCCTTTTATCGGAGAAATTAAACATTTCTTCTTCTACGGGTTCGCCGTGCTCAGTCATTTTATTTTCTGTACTGCCATATTCGACTGTGTGTTTTGAGTTAAATTCAGATTTTGCCATATTGGCAGTCGTGCTTGATTTGTGATAAACCTGCTTGCCTGTTTCGTTTTTGTTTGTGCCTGATACTGTTGCTTCTGTGGTATGTATTCCAGGAGTAAGTATTTTACTTTTAACTATTTGTGATTTCGCTGTCTCAGGTCCTTTACTACTTATTCGTTCTGTTTCTTTATATTCTTTTGATTTAGATGTTTCAGAAACCAGTGTATTTGTTTTTTCGAATTGTTTTAAGGAGGTACTTTCCGTCTTTGTTTCTTCTCTTCCAGTTTTAGCGTTTTTCTCGGTAGAAATTTCTTCTTTCGTTCCTGGTGACACTTCGATAGTAGTATGTTTCTTATGACTTATGCGGCCTTCAGTTATACCAACTGTATTTTTTTTGTTCTTTTTCAGATGTTGAGTATACTGTTTTTCAGTTGATGTTGATTCTATCATTTCAGATGCCGTATTATATCTTGTATTTAATTTTGTATGAATCATGGTTTTCCTAGGTTTGAGAGTTGTTTTTGTCAGTTGAGTAGATTCAGTGATACTTGGAGTTAAAGGTATTTTTGAATTTTCTTCTTTACTAGATGTATTATATTCACTTTTCGAACATAATTCACATAAAGTACTGCCCATCCTTTTATCGGAGAAATTAAAAATTTCTTCTTCTGCAGGTTCGCTGTACTCAGTCATTTCATTTTCTGTATTACCATATTCGACAGTGTGTTTTGTATTAAATTCAGATTCAGCAGTATTGGTAATCGTGCTTGATTTGTGATAACCGTGCTTGCTGTTTGTGCCTGATACTGTTGCTTCTGTGGTATGTATTCCAGGAGTAAATATGTCACTTTCAGCTATCTCTGACACTGTCTCAGGTATTTCTTCATACTTTTTTGATTTAGAAGTTTTAGAAATCAACGTATTTGTTTCTTCGTATTCCTTTAAGGAGCTACTTTCCGTCTTTGCTTCTTCTCCTCCAGTTTCAGTGTTATTCTCAGTAGAAATTTCTTCTTCCATTCCTGTTGACATTTCGATAGTAGTATCTGTCTTATGACTTATCCCAACTATTCTGGTAGCTTTCGTTTCTGTTACTTTCTGCTCTAAACTTTCATTCGCTAGGTTCTCTGTAGTTGTTTCTTTTGTTGCTACCTCTGCTTTTTCTTCAGTTGCACCAGATGCAATTTTCTCTGTTTCGCGATTTCCCGAATATTGATTATACTCTTTTTCAGTAGATTTTAATTCTATCATTTCAGATGCTGTATTAAATCCTGTACTTAATTTTGTGTGAATCGTGGTCGTCCTAGGTTTGAGAGTTGCTTTTGTCAGTTGAGCAGATTCTTCTAATTCAGTAATACTTGGTGTTAAAGGTGTTTCTGAATTTCCTTCCGCACTAGATGCATTATATTCACTTTTAGAACATAATTCACACAAAGTACTGCCCATCCTTTTATCGGAGAAATTAAAAATTTCTTCTTCTACGGGTTCGCTGTGTTCAGTCATTTTTTTTTCTGTGTTACCATATTCGACAGTATGTTTTGTATTAAATTCAGATTCTGCAGTATTAGCAATCGTGCTTGATTTGTGATTTTTGCTTGAGCCTGGTACTGTTATTTCTGTGGTATATACTTTCAGCTGTTCTGGTTCTACCGTCTCTGGTTTTGTAGCACTTATTCGTTTTGTTTCTTCATATTTTTTTGATTTAGATGTTTCAGAAATCAGCGTACTTCCTGCATACTCCTTTAGGGAACTACTTTCCGTCTTTGTTTCTTCTCTTCCAGTTTCAGTGTTTCCCTCAGGAGAAATTT